ACCAGGAGTCCCACCTCTGGCCTCAAGGACAGCTGGGGACACAGTAACCTTTTACCTTTTAAAGATGATGTGTTTATTACTATTTGGAAAATAATGTTGAAAAAGTGCATGATTCTGGTTCATATGAAGGCCATTTACTGAGGCTTACCAGGTATGGACACTGGCAAAATGCATACGCTCATTCAATGTCTAATCCTTGTAACAGATGGAAGGTGGGCGTTATGCCACCATCACGTTCTGAAGGAGGAAACAGGTCAGAGAGGTTAATGACAAGCCCCCGCAGCTGCCTGGCAAGGGCTCTGGCTCCAACGCTGAGACCACGCACGGCAGCACGTGGGTCAGATCTGGCCACAGGCATGTTTGGCCCCAGAGCCACCATTTTAAAGTTGGAACTGTTTCTCCACGACGGGAATGTCTGCTGCCGCCTGCTATGTGCCCACCTGGCAGTAGCCGGGCAGGCCTGAGGGGGGCTCGCTGAGAGGATCAGAGCCCTGTGGGCGCCCGTGCCCTCGCCCAGCCCCGTCACTCATTGCCTTGTCCGGTGGCCCCAACGCGCCCCACCTCCTGCTCTGACCTGGGTGCTCATCCACCACCTCGCTTCCCAGGAAAAGCGGTCCCTGAACGTTCTCCTTAAACAGATTGTGTTGTGCAGCCCGGGCGCCGTCACAGGCTGGTCCCCTACCCTCCCCCAGAGGCTGCTGGTCCTTTGGGCTTATGCCCCGTGGAACCTCCAAACATTTCCTTGTTTGAGGAAACCTCTTTTGAGCGACAAGATGCTGGGAGAAACCGGGCTCTTTCCTCGGCTTCCTCTGTCTCAGCCGCCGGGCCCCTGCGACCACATGTCCCGTCCCTTCCGCAGAGACGGGTCCTGGTCCCAGGCCCTCGGAGCCTCCGTGGCTCCTGTGCCTTCAAACACGACTCCCGCTTTAAAGGTGTCCCTACCCTTCCTCACCCCGGAAAACTGCGAGCCCCCAGCTTCTCTGAGGACCTCCCTCTCCTGCTCACAGCGCTCCCCCCCCCTCCCCCCGCCACTGCTGTCATCCTGGGCGACGTCAGGTTCCCACGGACAGGCCACTGTCTGCGTCTCAGGCTCTGTCCCCTCCTCCCATGAGCCCCCGGGAGCTGGAGGAGGCAGAAACACGGCCGTGGGAGCCGCAGCAATGACTTGTCCCCAAAGAGCAGAAAACCGGGGGCAAACTTCTAGGACTTTATTTTACCCATTCATTTCCTCACAATATTTCCAACGTTTAAGAAAAATGTTCTTTGGAAATACTGTGAACTGAGATGTACTCAGAACACGAGAGGAAATACCAGCTTAAAATTATTAGGATGATTGTCATTTTTTTTTTCTGATTTAGCTTATCAAGTCCTCAGAAAGTAGTGCATGGACCGCCTGAATGACAGGCATCCAGATTTTTGTTAAAAACAAATTTCCGTACCGCACCCAAGATGTGCTGAGTCAGAACCTCTGTGAGGCCGTGGGAATGTTCTTTTCTGACCGTCTCCCGGGAGGAGTCTTCTGTCTGGCCAAGTCTGAGCACCCCTTATGCGTGTGTGACTTTTTTTTGTCCTGGTCAATTACGAGTGATGAGAAGGCGGCCCACCTTCATGCTGTTGCTTTGTTGAAAAGTTAAAGACACTCAGCTCAGAGCCGGGTCCCTGGGTGTGGGTCCCAGCGTCCGCTGGGACTTGGCCCAGAGCTGGGGCAGAAGCTTGGCCTCGGAGGTCCGCCAAGCACAGGAACTGGAGCTGAAATGATGAAGGGAGCCATGGGGACCGCGCTGGGCACTGCCCAGACCTTCTGAGAATCTTCCAGATGAGAGGGGGAGTGGAAACTTTCCCCTTCTGAAACACAAAAGACTAAAGGCCATGTTGTGCCAAAGGCAGTTTTGGCAACTCCACTTCACAGTGGACAAAGTAAAAGCCAATAAAAAATAAAAGCCATTTTTCGAGTTGACTTGAAATGATGGAAAAGTGGGAAAGCTTTCCTATTTGGGTAATTAGTTTGAAAGCAAGTGCCCCGAGAAATATTTTGCAATTTCGTTTAAGTGGTAAGAATGTGCATTTTCTTGGACTTCAGGCAGGGGGTTGTCTGTTCCTGCCCGTCGGTTGAGTGGAGCGTCTGGCATTGCCAGCACTGCCCGTCCCTGATGCACACACAGCCCTTTCATCGGGCTCTGGGGAGCAGGCCCACTGCTGCCCCCGGGTCTAGCCACAGAGCAGGGCCCTGGGCTACCCGGATACCCTCGGAAGAGGAGGCCTCCGCCATCTCTCTCATTTGTTTTTCTCTCTTTTTTCCTTTAAAACTTTTAATTGTGGGAAAACACATAACATAAAACTTACCATCTCAACCATTTTAAGGGCGTGAAGTGCATTCTCGCTGTTATGCAACCATCCGCCTTCTGGCCTCTTTTCAATCTGCAAAACTGAAACTCCATCCCCATTCAAGAGTGACTCCATTCCCCTCCCCCAGCCCTGGGAACCGCCACCCTACTTCCTCTCCCCCTGAGTCTGACTCCTCGGGGTGCCTCATGTGAGCAGGACCAGGAGGATCAGGTAGTATTTGTTCTTTTGAGACTTCGCGCGGTGTCATCTGGGTTCATCCGGGCTGTAAGTGCGTCGGAATTCCCTTCCTCTCCAGGGCTGAGTAACAGCCACTGTACGTCTACTTTGATCCACTCTCTACACTTGGAAAATGAACATCCCACAGCATCACTGTGCTCCCAGCTTCTTGTCTGGCTTCAGGGCCCTCAATAATATCACCCTGACCCGATATCACCAAATAACTGCATCAAACTCCTATGGTCCAGCCAAGTTGAACTACATTCTTTGAAAACATTCTTGCTTTTCCCCCTATTTTGTTCCTATTACTGGTACTGCCCGGGTGCC